GAAACATTTGCTATTTTTTTTTTTTTTTGCCTTAGATGCCACCAGCTTTGGCATCTGCTTCAAAGGCAATCCAACATGGACAAGATAAGTAGACTTCTAAAACACTGGATGAGAATCAAACTATTTTCATCCATAAAGAGTCTTGCCCCATTTATGAATTAGCTGGATACTAGTCTCAGCTTTACCCATATGTCATCAGGTTCTTGCATATAGTTTACTTTATTGTTGAAAATAAAGTATTAACGTTCTCAGTGTTGTCAGGTGCTGCTGAGTTAGTTCTGACACATGATGATCCTACGTACAATAGAACAAAACACCACCTGGACCTGCGCAGTCCTCACAATCCTTATGCCTGAGCCCACTGTCGCAGCCACTATGTCAACCCATCTCATTGAGGGTCTTCCTCTCTTTTGCTTACCCTCTACTAAGCATGATGTCCTTCTTCATGGACTGGTCCCTCCTGATAACACATCCAAAGTATGTGAGACAAAGTCTTACCATCCTCTTTTCTAAGGAGCATTCTGGCAGTACTTCTTCCAAGACATACTTGTTCTTTTTTCTGGCAGTCCATGGTATAGTCAATTCTCTTTGCCAACATCATAATTTAAAGGCATCGATTCTTCTTCTGTCTTCCTTATTTAGAGGTCTCAGTAATGACCACTAAAACTTTTTACTGAATACCTTATTGTCTTTCACATGGTAGAATAAACTATATCCCTCTCTGGTCATTTGAAGGTCAAGAACATTATTGAGTATTCCTAGGGCAATGGTTCTTAAATTTTTAGGGGGATTAGAGAATCTAATGAAAGCCAAAAGTTGTTTTCCTAGAAAAACACATATGGACAATATTTCCATGTAACTTCTGGCAGTATCTCTGAAATCCATCTATAAGCTATTACCCTGGGATAGGGTGAGGATCTCCATGTACCATCCTGAGAAAATAGATCCTCAGAAAATTTGTGACCTTCATTCATTTGCTCAAAAATTATTTATGGGGCCTCTAGATGCTGGTCATTGTGCTCTGCTGAAGATACAAAAGTGAGCAAGATTGACAGGGTCCCTGCTCACAAAGAGCTCCTGTTATGGCTGAAGGAACTGCCATGTAAGTTGGCTACTCATGTGCTGTGACTACTGCTAAGCACAGCATGGAGGAGTCAGCAAAAGATTCCCAGAAAACATGAGATCCAGAAGAGGAACGGGATATGTTGTGGTGAAGTAGGGGAGAAGAGAGGCTGAAGGAGTATGCACAAACGCCAGAGCAATGGGGGCCATGGTCTGTTAGTAAAACTAGGGGCTGAAGCATTATTACTCAAGGGTAGAAGCCAGGAGATATCATGGTAAAGTGGAAAATGTTGTTGTTGTGTGCTGTCAGGTTGATCCCGACTCATAGCAACCCAATAGGACAGAGTAGAACTACCCTATAGGGTTTCCAAGGCTGTAATCTTTACTGAAGCAAATTGCCAGGTCTTTTCTCCCAGAGGGGCTGGTGTGTTCCAACCGGGGCTTCGAACTGGTTCATTCAGGTTCAACTTCCTGCTTAGCATTTACATTTCTACCCCTTATGTATGCGTAAGAATCACCTGGGGATCTTATTAAAATGTAGATTCTGATTCAGTATATCTGGGGCGGAGATGCAAATTATCATCAGGGAACTGGAAAGAACCAGATTCAAAGCCCTAGTTCCAACCAATGACATTTTGATTAGCAGCCGAGCACTTAACCATTGCACCACCAGGGCTCCTTTAAAGTGGAAAATAGGGTCAGATTAACAAGGTTTTTATAAGCCATGCCACAAAATATAGACTGCATCTGTGAGCATTCTTCAATTACTTGTTGTAGCACTCTGTCTCCTTTCGTATTTATGAAATATGTGTAAAGTGCCTTTGATAAATGTAAAGTTTCATTCAGTTAAAAGACACATATAATCATATATAAATAATATTATGTGTGTATAAATTCAAAACCATGGTTTATTACAGTTGAAACAGGCCCTAGAAATGATGTGGGCTGCTGTCTTTATTTTGCATATGAATTAAATGGATTTACATATAGCCATTTCGTCACTGAAATCGATCTACCATTCTAACAGGTATCCACAGTTCCTGGAGTTAGTGCTTATGGAAATGCATCTTCAGTACAAATAGGAAATATTTCAGGATACATTGATACCCCAGATCCACCAACCATCATCAGCTATCTACCTGGGCTTCTTTACAAATTTAGTTGTAGTTATCCATTGGAATACCTGGTGAATAATACCCAGCTTGCTTCGTAAGTTTACATTTTATTCTTGCTTTCTCATATTGCCATTATGCTTGAATCATTTCTTATCCTTAAGGGATTTATGAAGATAGCAGGATTTGTTGAGAATGACTGCACTGACACAATGTAATAAGAACTGGATTAAGTCTTCTATATACATATATAATTGATATGACCGATATCAACAGCTCAGGATATATATATAAAAAATTAAATTAAAATTGGTTCAAACTCTGCTGGATTTGTTATAAGTCAGGTACCTCCCATCTGCCTTGTGTCCTCCTTGTTCCCCTTAGAACTGCCTAAGAAATCCAGTGCCAGGATCAAAAGGGCCTGTTATGTTTTCAGTGCCTGCATATTTTGATCACTGCGTTGATGGGTCCTACCTGGCTTCCCTCTCTGTCATATGCTCATATGCTCTTACTGCTGAACTCTGCTGCTCTAGAAGCTAAGTCTCCACGCCTCCTGCTGAGGCATCACCCTTGGCTGCCCAGACCCTACATGGGCACTGATGATTCCCAGGAAAGGAGGTATGACTCAGAGTCAAGACATGGACCCTCGAGGTTACAGCCTTTAGTTTCTAGTCATATATTTATTCATTTTTCAGGCAGCACATCCTCTAAGACAGAGCTACATCCCATTATGACATAATCATCTAGACTTGGCAAATATTTTTGACAAAATATGAGATGATTGAGTGAACTCTTTCTCTCTCCAATTTTCAGCTTTTATGTCATGAAGACCTAGTTACCATTTAATGATAGTCATGAGGGAACCCAAGGAGACACAGAACCCATATTTTGCTTCAGTTGAAAAATATTCATAGTTGGTTTTAATGGCACAGTGATGATAAACGCCTTGGTCAAAAGCAAGTCTTTGATGTGGAAAAGGATAGAGGTCTATAGGATGAAGGTGTAGAGGGAAGCAGGTCATTAGGGTGTCATAAGCTCTTACTCCCTGCAGCCCCTACCCCATCCTGAACTGCTTGTATCTTCAGCCAATATTTATTACTATATGCTATGCAATGCTCTAGAACTGAACAAAATTCCTTGTTGTCAGGGAACTTCTATTTGAATGGAATTGATGAAAGTATATTTGCAGCAAACAGATTCAAATTCTTATGAAATAAAATTTTTCTGCCAAAAGTCTCAAATATGTGGTGCAAAATGAAAAACAAAAAGATGAATTGATAAATCAAAAGATCATAAAGAATAGCTTTTCTTTACTTGGTCCTTTCATTTTAATTATTTATCTGTTCAATGATTTAAACAAGACGCCACACTAAGTAAAAGTATGTCAGGCTTATTCAAGAGTTGTAGTGGTTAAATCTAACAACCAGCTAAAACTGAAACTTTTAATTTAAAATCTCATCAGTGCTTTCCTTTTTCTAAATCTATGTCAGGTCGTCAGCTGCTATTTCTGTGAGAGAGAACAATGGCACATTTGTCAGCACCTTGAACCTGCTCCTTTATAACGTAAGTTGATGGGTGAAGGATGTTATTTTCTCTTTCACTGTTCTGAGGAGCAAACGGCTTTTATATAAAAAACGACCAACAGCCATACTAACCTTGTTATACTTGGGTAACATTTTCCATCTTTACTGCCATTTTCATATGTCTCAGTGATAAAAGTGTACTAAAAACTCCATTATTTTTCAAAAGTTGATCAGTGATTTAAATTTTTTATAAATGTGTCTGTATAGTTACTTGGTGTTTCTCTCTACCTTCATATGTGTGTTTTTCTGTCTGTGTGTGTGTTTGTATGTGTAGACATAGGGTCAAGATCTTGGGAAGAATATTTTTGTCATAACAAGATAGAGCAAATCCAAATGATAGTCCTCTAGAGGCATGTTTGGTGATGAAAGTGTTAACATTTTCTTTTTTTTAAATTTTCTTAAATAGTACTTTAGGAGAAGGTTTACAGAAGAAATAATTTTCTCAATAAACAGTCAGTACACCTATTGTTTTATGACATTGGTTAACAACCCCACAAAATGTCAACACTCTCCCTTCTTGACCTTGGAGGATCTTTACTTTTTGTTGTTGAAAATATACATAGCCAAAGATATACCAGTTCAGAAATTTCTACATGTACAATTCAGTGACGTCGATTATATTCTTTCAGTTGTGCTGCTATTCTCACTATCTTTTTCCAAAGTATTCCATCACCATTGTCTTCAACTCACTGTCCCCTAGGCTTCCCATCAAACTCTTTGAGTTGCTGTTGTCAATTTGATCTCACATAGATAATTCTTTTTTTTTTTTT